GATTCTTCAATTCTCCGACTTTTGATATCAATCGGTATACGTTCCTTTTTGCGAGACTCTCATTTCTCCCGATTTCATGAGTCATAAAATCGATGATTCTCCGACTCTCGTGTAGCGGGGTCTAAATGCGGTCTCATTCTCTGCGAGTGTGAGAGATACGGTAATAAAGAGCTTCCATTTCAGTCTGCATTCAATTCCAATCATGTGAAGCATGCTCTAATGCAACGTTGAAGCACTTTACTTGCACATGGTGTCATGCTAAGAAGGCTCATGGAGGACCATTTTGTACAGATCAGGGAGGGTAAGTCAGAAAGTTTCCCGAGCGCAGTCTTCTTCATTTGCTTTGCCTTATAGCATTCATCGACGTCGCCAACAATGGGCAGAAAATAATTGCAAAAATCAAGGGAAAAATATGTATTGTAATGCTGCTACTGACGAAGATGAGGTAGAGGATAGGTGCGTTTAGTCGTTTCCTTCCCAATAGACATAATGAGTCGCTTCTTCTCTTTTTTTCATTCATTTCATTATTTCCCGTTCTCTCTTCGCGGCTGCTATTTTGACGAAAGGGTCATTAAGCTGTCAAGTAGCTGCGCGCGAAGTGCGGCAAAAACACTCCCAATGCTCGTGGTCATGCTAAATGGCTCAATAAAACATTATGGGGATTTTTGCGTCCGGCCAAAGCTTGCAAACTAGTGCTTTCCGCGCTTTATGGGAACAAAATTCAACATTATTATCCCAGAAGTCAAGATTTACTTGTATTTTGCTATACAGCATTCCTAGTAAAATGAAATATAATATATGATTATAAGTAATATAATTGAAGAGTAGATACTTTCTCCATCCATCACAATCGAGATAGGTGTCTTTTAGACCGCGATCATACTTTGCGCATGTGGGGAAATCCATGAATAAGATGAATGCGCATCCAAAGTGTAGATGAGAATTAGTTGACTCCTCAGGGGCAAGAAGCGAATGAAGGCTATAAGTTCTACTGTTTGCCCCCCCCCCCTCGAATTGGCCAGTTTAAGCGGCTTTAGCAACTCGCTAGGAAATTGAAAGCTTCATGTCGCTTGTAGACTGTGTGGCCGGGTGGGGGGAGTGTAAGTTGTTGGAGTGGAATCCTTTCGATTTCTTTTCTAAAATTATTTTGCTTCTTCAATTTTAACTTTTCAGTACTATTAATGACTATGCTATGGATGTATGTTCTAATCTTTCATGTTATTTTTGCTTAACAGTCTTTCTACATTTTAAATTTAGTGTTTCAAAGAAAGGATATTCTTTTGTCTTTATGTAATTTTGACCATTTATTTTTTTTGCAACAACCGTCAAGAAGTCGGACGGTTTCGGCGATGGTATCTTCAAAGAAAAATAACCCAATTGTACAGCAGAATTCCAAAAATTGCATTTTACTATTTAAAATTCTTAGAAGGCATACTGTTTAAAAATAAAGAAAAAGCTCGTAATGTTTTATCAAGTTGAACATTTCAAATAACTATTCTTCTGTTGGGCTTTGAATATCTATTCTAATGAAATATGAAAAATTGTCTTCTATTGGCGAGTTTTCACTGCGCTTATTGAGTTAATTTTTTGCACTACTTACACTTCAACCAGATGGGCTACGACCAATGCGGAAATTATGACTCTTGATCCAGGCGGTTCAACTTGTCTGCCTGAACAACTTTTTGAGTCGAATCTTTGCCCTGCGGAAGGGAAAAAACCAAAAACTGGCCATTGATTTTGGAAGATTTGGCGCAGTCACAGGATAACTACTGTCAATATTTTATAGGTCCTTTAATTTTCTGGTATTTGAAATGAGAGTGTTCCGATTTCAATAGCTTCCCCACCAACTTAATGGAATCCTCCTCAGAGTTACTAGTTCTGCCAACACATAGCTCATTCCTGTCAGTTCGCGTCCTAATGGTTGATGTTATTGGTTTTGGTCTGCCGCGGACAGTGCAGTTTGTAAAGTTGTCGAAAACCAAAACTTGTCCCAGATGCGGCGAGGTAAGAAGTGGTAAAACGAGTAGCAGTCTGCAAATTGATAGCCGAACATGAGAATTTCTGGCATGGTGCGGGATAGTTTCGGATCAAAAAAAGTCTTCTACCTATTTTATGCAGGGAATTTTTGGTAGAATATCCCGTTGTGAATTAGCCTCTTCTTCAGAGCTAGAAGATGATATTCCTGTCCCCTCTCTCACAGTTTTGTTGTGGAACTAGTTATATTTGATTTTTACAAAAGAACTTCAAGTAAACAAGTTTGATTTTCAGTTCAACTCCTTCATCCGAACAGCCGTCTTCACCGGATGATGTCATACCTCTGGATAAGCCACGGATTGATAAAATGAAAGGTATGTTTTGGTGGCTTTGTAAAGGTAATTAAATTTTTGAAGTGACGGCTTCGCCTCTTCTCGTCAAATATGTTAAATACTCTCCTTATTTGAAGTTCTATTACTTCTGCGAGAACTCTCCTTATTCTGGCGATGGAGTGGGCGTGGCTGCGTACTATTTTATCAGCATAGGATGTGTTGCTCGAAGAATGGTTCTGTTCGAAACATCTTATGCTGAACAAAGACATGATTGCAGCTATGCAAAACAAGAATATCCCACCGGAGACGCAGTCGCCGCACTATTGAACAGAGTGTGCCTCCACGCCCACGTCATCTCTGCGATACCGAGTGTATATCTCAATAACCGTTTTTTAAAGTAACAATAAGTAACAGTTTGTTGAGGTAAAAGCAAGAAAGCATAATTCGATGGATATAAATCTTATGTAATATCAAACGCGAGTTAACCAACACGTACACAGCTGCTAGCCAACTTTCAACCACCCAACCAGGCCAGTGCGTTGAATTCGTTGTTTTTATAGCCTTCAATATTGCAGGACATCTTACCATATTCAGACAAGTTATTCACACGTTTTTCAAACGCACCATGCCAGCCTGCTGCAGCCACCTTAATTCATTTACGCCGAGAATGGCGCTTTAGTTTTAGAAAAAGGTATGAATAGCGTTCCGCACTCGAAGTTCCGATTGCCTTCCTTCACACAGTTTTGAGAGTTCGAACTTTCAAGAGGTCGAGCTTTCAAGAGGTCGCTAAGCTCAAAGATGGGGAAATAATTTCAGAGTGGAATGGGCGTCATACCTGCACTGTCCTTCGCTGCATGAGTTGTACTGAAATTCCGCTGCCGTTCAGCTCTATTTCAGGATATGATGTACTACATGGGTAGAAACTTACCTTAGACGGATGGAAGTGAGGTTTGGCAAGTAGAGTCGCTTACCACAAGCGCGGTTCGGAAGACATGTCGCATTGGCTCCCGTCAAGCCAACTGATATTTTCTCCCTCCAAAGCCTCTAAAGTGATACCATATTTGTGAGGGGAGGAGGGGGGAGGGGGCGTTCTAAGTACGTCAATGAATGTTGGTAGAAAATGCCACGCGAACAAAATGCGAAGTGAAAGAGCCAAAAACCTGCGAAAAGCCTTTGTTCTGCGCGGCATTGGATGAACACTTTTTGGGAGAGTTTCGCTTTGGCATTGTGCCAACGATTTGATAGATACGTCTGCACGTATGTATTCATGGTGTTCAGCTCGCGTCGACATTGTGTATGGAGCCGGATTACGGTGGGGCGGTCTCAGGCGGCTTTGCCAGCATTGATAGCGGACGCCTTAACAGCGTACCTCCGTTGGAAGGCCACCTTACAGTTCCTAGCTCAGGGCATTTCAATTTCAGTCCCTAATAGGCATATTTATCCTACACGCCTTCTGAGATTTTATTCGTGCCCTTGTATTTTATTCCTAAGGAATAAAACCACATTTTCCCAAGATTTAATGAATTACATTCTTTATTCGGCCAGTAATCTGCGCGACCGACTCGTTCTTCGAGATGCTCCCGCTGGGCTCGCTCAGGCAATTTTGCAGTAAACGTGGACATCGCTTGTCGGAGACTAGTGCGTCCGCTTATCAATAATTTGTCGCTGGGAACTGAATAAAGTCAAAACGCGCTGCCACTCTACAATGTTGAGCAAACAAGCTTCGTGTGCAATGCAGAGCAATCTGAGGTGTCGCTTGAGGAAATTTTAGAGCCGGAGGTCAGAAAAGTAGTAATTGATGGTATGAACTTTCATGGATATAGAGACAAAAAAATTGTGAAGTTCGCTACTCCCCTTGCAGCTCAGGAAGGGTCCACGACCTAGTATCTGACTGGAGAGAGTTCTAAAATTCGATCACTCCTTCGGCACACCATCTAGCGATTTCCATTTGCAGACTTTAGAGACCACATCGATCTTGCAGTCTGGTAGAAGGAGCCATCGCTGTCTTCTCATGATTTTCACAAAAATGTAGCGATATCGGAAGCAGCACTAAGCGAACCTAGTTCGAAACACGGCAGGATCACGATAATCATAGATCCTCAGCCACAACAAAAGTCGAGACGATAAAGGTGTTCGGCGCGCGAAGGGGACGGGGGCCGATTAGGTATTCTCTCTGCTGAGAAAAAATGTAATAATAAGAAATTTCGAGGAGAGTAGTCGAATTTCACTAGAACTTTCCCAACGGCGGAAACCGCCCTCATTGGTGAAAACATATGAGTAATGTGAAATGTGCTCCACCGCTAATCGCAGAATCGTTTGAATCGCGGGATCAGATGGGTGTATAAAGGCTGTCATACGTTAACTCTTTGTGCATTGAAAAAAAATATATATTTTTCATGGTAGCGTCACATATTTGCCGTCATCAGGCATAATGGAAGCTTCTCCGTGTTTTCAGGTGGCACTAATGGAGGCGGTTATGCTGCGCTCGTTTTTACACTCGGATGTTCACTTTGTCTAATTGCATGGTTAGCATATGCTTACTATAATCCGCATACCACCAGTGGCCAACTTCTTATTAAGGTGAGGTGCTTTTCTAAGACGGTTTATACTTATAAATGTGTGTTGCCTTTCGTTGTTTAATTCAAATAAATTGCATAATTTGCGTGATTTTTGAAATAATAACAAAAATATCAAGACAACGTTATGAGGGAAGCTCAAGCGAGCACAGTTCGACTTGGTGGGGGCATTCTGCTGGTTCCCATCAATCACTGTCAATGCCTGCTTAGGGAGCTCTAAAAACCTGTAAAGCTACGCAAATGCGGGAACTTCGTTTACACTTACTTAACAAGAGACTGCAGGTATTACCATGCTAAGACATGTAAGGTAACAGGAGCAAACAAAGCAAACTAGCGTAAGAGCAGGATGCTCCCCCTCCCCACCTCTCCTCCTGGGCCGTACAGCGCCCAAAATCGCCTAGCACAGACCTCAACTCCCAACCTTCGACAGCGAAATGTGCCGCTGAGGTGACTTAAGTTTTCGTGTGTTTTTACGTTACCATGCTTTCTTTTCTCTACGTCTTGCCTTAGGTTTCTGAGGCTGAGCTATATCTTTGCTTTCATAATTTCGATTCATTCGATTTTTTAACGAAGCCCTCAATTTTCATTTTCAATGATTTTACCGTTTCCAGTATCGCCCATCTCGCTGGAGAACTCCGAGCAGTCACGTTCGTTATAGTGCCTCGGTGCATATGTAAATATCGGTCAACTATTGTTCAAGTAATTCACGTCGGCATCCATTAGCAGCTGTGGCAGCTTGTTCGTTGTTTGGTGCTAGAACTCTTTGGTCGAAACCTGTTCCACCTATTTTGCAT